ATTGGAGCATGAGCTTTCGTGGGTGAATACACATGCATCCAGTGAAGTGGGGATTCACCCACGAAAGCTCATGCTCCAATACGTCTGTTAGTCTATAAGGTGCCACAGGACTCTTTGCTACTTTCTCTGGTCAATGTCGGGCTGGTTCTGTTACTGGGGACCCCGGCCATTTCCAGCTGCAGTCAGCACCTCTTTGAAATGCCTCTCTGCTGTACAGTGGGTAGGGAGTGCACTGCTACAGGAGCAAAGGCAGACACGGTGTCCGGATGTTTTTTTGTTTAATTGGGCCGGATAATTGACCAGTAATACAGCTAATTCTGCTAAAATGAGGATCATGCAATCTCATGCTTCCGGGCAGGTGGCTGCAGGGTCAGGAAGGAATTCCAGTCTCCTTCGGTGTGCAGTATTTCACTGGTGGCCCAGGTGCCAATTATGGGCTTGAGGCTGTCTCTGAAGACTCTGCTGGAGAGAGGATACTGGGCTAGATGAACCAGTGGTCTGTTCCAGGGAGGCAGAATGCTAGACTAGATATGTCCGGAGATGGGAGATTGGACTAGACACCATTGTTTCATTTTGCTTTGGCCTCTTCTTGGTTTTTTTCACTATGTTTCCCCTACACCCACGTCTCTGCTCCATTCTTTTCCATGCCTAGCTACTGGATGGCCGCCGGCCCACAGGGGGGAAGTTGGAGGTGATTGTGCGTCTAAGGGAGCCTCTGAGTTCTCAGCAACTGGAGACAACAACGGAGAAATGGCTGGTTATTGACCCTCAGACCATGCCAGCGGTAAGGGCCGCTGTCTTGATGGGGCTCTGGGTTCCCTGTGACCTAGGCAGGATGATTCTAGGACTGACTGGGAATGTGAGTCAGGTCTGGCTCTGCAGAGACTTTGCCTTAGCCCCAGGCCACTGGAGTTGGGCCGCTAGTCAGAGGAGGCAGCGTCCGTCCGTCGGGGTGTTGGCATGAGGGAGGGAATGTCAGTCATCCCCAAACAGAGCGCTCACATCTCCCCTTTGCCTGCAAAGCTTCATCACGCGCCGGGGTCTGAAAAGCTGGGACTCGACCTGAAGGAAAAATTGCCTAAGGAGCAGCGTGCAGCGGATCTGCCTTGGGTCGTCCATGTGAGCTGTGCTGATGCCCCTGGTGATTTTGCTTAAAAAGGCCCTTTTCCCTTCTAATAGAGAGGCAGCAGCGTCCAGTGTGCAGGGCTCTGTACTGGGGAGATTCTCTTCCCAGCTATGCCACTGACTTGTGTGAGGCTGGACGCTGGACAAGTCATTTCCCAATCGGTTAAGGGGGGTAGTGATCTCGTCCCGGCCTCTTGTAGAGCACCGGGAGAGCCGTGGATGAAATCCATCGCTTATTTTGAAAGCTTCTGCCTCTTCTTTCAGGTTGCTGTCCCCAAACCAAAACCAGCAGTCGGTCCAGTAAGGGACGTGGGCAACAGGTACGTCCCACTCGCGCTGGCTTGGCTTAGTGGTGCGGTCTGAGGTTTTTTCTGTGCTCTAAGGAACCTGTGAGGATTTGTCTGCTTAACGATCCTTCCCCTCCCCCCCCCTTCTTTCGGGGCTGGGGGTGGGGGATTCCTGCTGGATGTTTTGCATTCCTGGTGAGCTTCTGCTTCTGTAGCTTTGGATGATGAGACATGTGGGCATAAGCAAACTACCCTCAGCTGGCAGTGCTGATATTGTAGACTGTAAACTCCAGGATAATAATAAAGAATTCTTTGCCCTTCTCTAGGACCTTCTGTCCACTCACAGAAGCTCCCTGCACTTCACAATGTCTTCTCTGGGATGTAGGTCAGAATTATCCCCATTGTACAGGTGGGAAAACTAAGGCCCAGAGCGGGGGAAGTGAGTGGTTACGGAACATACTGTTGCCAGAGTAGGGAACAGAACCAAGATTATTATTCAGTCACTAATTATCCCTTCCCTGCATGGTGCTCTAACAAGCTGTGTTATTGCACAGTATGGTAGCTGCTCGTGGTAACGCCCTATGCCAGTTATCAGAGTCCTTTTGTAACTGGAGTGGGGGGGATGCTTTTGTTAGAGCAAGGAACTGAGCTCAGCTCGTTCCCGGCTCTGCCACTGACTCACTGTGTCACCCCAGGCAAGTCACTTTGCTGCCCTGTGCCTCAGTTTCCCCAGCTCTAAAATGGAAAGAACGCTTGCCTTCCTTGAGCGCTCTGAGATCTATGGATGAGCAGTGGTGTAGAAGTGCAAAGCTGTGCTCATCTGCGAGTGATTTTCCATTTGCTCCAGTGGAGAAAGCAACTCCCTCCATCCTGCTGGACAGGCCCGACTTCCTGGGTGGGGTGAGGCAAGATCCGTAAAACAGCAGCACCCAGGGACAGACTTGCCACCCTAGTCAGGATAGCAAAACAGAACATTTGTGTAGCTGTCTAATGCATGGGATTGCCGCCACCCTGCCCTTCCCCTATTCGTGTGCGGAAAGGGGGATCTGGATACGTGGGGAGGGGATCCTGGCAGTGCTGGCTGAGAAGCGCTTTGAGATGGCAGTGTGCTGTGCTTAGATACCTTAGGCTGTATGGCCCCTGCCCGGCGAGTCCTATCTGGTTCTCTGAATGGGATGAGCGAGTCTGTGCAGGCCCTGCTGAGATCAGGGCGCAGCCTCTGTCTGGCACTCGCTGTTTATGGTCTCTTGTCTCTGTCTTTAATTTCCTTTCAGAACGTCCATCTGCTCAGTGCTCTAGCAAGGCCGGCTCTGACTGGACCCTCCTCCTCCTCTTCCTCCTCTCGGGCCCTGGAAGTTCTTACGTGGAACACCTTCCGCTCCTGCTGGCCCTGGAAGAGCGATAGCTTAGAGTGACTAGCGCATTTAGGGCCCCTGGTATTCCAGGAGCCTCCTGCTTCAGTGTAACCCAGGGATACTCTCCCCTTTGCTGGCGTCTTACAGACCCTGCTCCCTACTTCATCCTCCTGCCACCTCTCCCCAGTGGCAGAGGTGAGGTACGCGCCTGCTGAGGGGGCAGAGAAAAGGTATGAGGTGATGTGTGCAGAGCAGCATGGGGGTCTTGAACAACTCCTCCGGGAGCTAGGGGCAGAGATGGAGGGAGTGGGGGCCAATGGGTTTTCTCAGCACCAGGCTGGAGGCAGGGAGGGAGAAGGAGGAGACTCAGAGGGGACAGAGAGAAGTGGTGAAGAACAGAGGCTCGAGGAGGAGGAAGGCCAAGTAGATACTCAGGAGGAGAGGAGCAAGAAATTGGGTAGGACTCGGAGCGGGAGAGAATAAAATGAAAAGGAGCTGAGGGGGGAACAAGCAGGGGCTGGCGAATACCGTGTAGTCACAGAAAGGGTCACAGCAATGATGCATCCCGGGCTTAGGATCTGGACTGGGGAAAGCAAGTGGACTGCGGGGGAGGGACAGCAGTTCCTTATCTCCCTTCCCTGCCTGGATCCCTGATTCCCTGTGGTGGAGGTCCCGGTTCTGAAAGTATCTCTCCGCCTGAGTGCAGCAAGTGATGTTCTGAAAGGAAATGGCAAGGATGGGACGTGCGAGTGTCTGGATGTGGTTGGGGGGGGGGGGGGTGAGAGAGAGTGAAGAGCTCATGTCTGTGCAGCTGTAAAAAGAATGTTTCCATGAGACAAACTAATCCATCTCCAGCAAAAGGTTGGCCTTAGTTTGTACCAGAGAGGAGACAGCGAAACTGTTAACTACAAGGGGAAACTGAGGCACAATAGAGGAAAAGTGACTTGCTCAAGGCCATGCAGTGAGTTAGTGACACATCTGGGAATAGACTCCAGGAGTCCCAACTCCCAGGCCCATGGTCTAATCTCCCTCCCACTAGCTGCCTTCCGAGAGCCCACCATCTTTATGCAGCGGGATTGGTGTGGCGGCAGTGCTCACTTTTCTGCTTTGCCTTCACTCCAGAGACCCTCCACCTCCTCAGGGGTGTCAGAGTTGGGGGCCCTTCCTTTAATCTGACGAATGTTCCCTCTGTGCATTTGGACTGACCCACTTGGTCTAGGCCATGACAGAGGGGCGCAGACTCTCCCCGGGGGCCTGCAGCCCATCAGTCACTCTGCTGCGTGACAGGGCTGGGAAGTGAGGGGTAGCTAGAGCTTGACAAGTGGGGGTCTGATGGGAACGCGACACGGCTCCTGTGTTTCCAGGCTGTTTTACGAGCGCCGGTAAACCACAGTGCGCTGAAATGCACCGGGTCTGAGATAATACCCCCACCAGTCTCCTAAGCTGTTGGCTCACGTGCGGCAGGTGGCTTCTCTGAAGGCTGTGGTGTTCTCCAGTCTGCACATGGGCTAGTGATTGGAGCCAGGGACTGGGTCTCTGGACTCCTAGGCTGTAGTCACAGCTTTGGAACGGGAGTGGAGTCTAGTGGTTTGAGCTGGGGGGCTGGGGTTGGGAATCAGGTTTCCGGAGTTGTAATCCTGGCTGTGGTGGTGGACAATTCACTTCCCCTCTCTATGACTGAGCTCTGTTTCCTCTGTCTGATACAACGTGACTGTACTTGACCCCCCCCCCCTCCCCTGTTCCTTTGTGACCCTCTTTCCTTTCAACACCCCGTAGAGCACCGAGTGCCTGTCTGAGGACAGTGCTGCCTCTGCACCCCTCCCACCTTCACCAACGCGACATCTAGCCAGGCAAAGCCATCGAACTGGGAGCTAGAGCTACCGGAGATGTCGGGGGAGCTCATTTCTGGGCAGTGGGAGCGGGTTCAGATGCTTGCTATCCCTTCAAGGGGCTGATGCCTGCTTTGGAGTAGCAGCTCTGGGGTGAAGTCAGGCATTCTGGCAGGGCAAAGCTTCCCCAGGCTGAGGATCTCGGGAGGGTAAACCCTGGGATCTCTCCTGCACTGGCGTGGTCTCAGCTCCTCTGTCTGGAGTCAGAGCGTGTCCCCTCTGGGGAAGTTCTACCCACCTCCGGGGGATGAAATCCTGCCCCTTTCTTGGGTTTAACCAAAGCTCATGTTTCTCTTCCCCCAGCAAACCCATTCACACTCTGCACAGCTTGAACGTTTTAGCCTTTGACAAGGAGAAGCTGGAAAAGAAGGTGAGTGAAACCCGATGCCCTCCGCCTGCCCAGATTCTCCGGCAGCACCGGCTCGGCTAGGCCTCGAGCAGAACTCGGTGGGGAAGGGGTGGGGGTCTTCTACAGCTGCTGGTTATGCCACGAGGGAACTGGGTGATCTGGAGGTTAGTGGCAGAGCTAGACGTAGCAACCCGGAGACCAGACTCCCCGTTGCCTGCCTTGACAAAGCCTGCACTTACCCTTCGGCTGGGGAAGCAGCTCACGCTGCACGTTGGGAATGGTCTCTGGCCGCGGGGCGGGGGGGGTTGAATCCAAGAGCTTGACTGAGGCCCGTCTCTGTTTAGGATATTACCCTGCTGGTGGCGTGGTCCGAAAGCCAATGGAAAGACTCCCTTTGACTGCAATGGGCTTTGGATCAGGCCCCAGCACGTTAATGCTCCCTCTGCCTGGGATGGGGCCGGGCATTTCCCTCTAGGGCACCCTGGGGTTCACCTTCCCCATGGAGCACCTGTTCAGCCCACACCCCGCCCTGACTGGGCGAGGGTTTTCAACCGTGTTGGCTCTCTGTCTCTCCCTCGCGTAGGCACCGTCTTTGGGGCAGCGTCTAGCTGCTGTCTCCGCTGGGCGGGTCCTCGCCAGCCCTGCTCCCGGTGGGGGTTCCCGATGAACCGTTATGTGAAATGATCTTGAGTTCAGGAACCCCCCCCGCGCAGTGTCCGCCGAGGAGAACCAGCCGCTTACGACTTGCAGGTTCCCTGCTCGGTGGGCTGCGATGGCTCTTCCCGCACAATCGCAAGGGTGCCAGGTTATGGGAGACATGGCTGCAGGTCATGTCCCCTTCTAGGGGCAATGTGAAAGGGCTAGAGAGTCCAGGACGGGTCCTGCCCTGCCACTGGGTGCATCCGCCATTGACCTGCACGGGAGATCTGTGCATCGGCCGCTTGGAGGGCGGCAGTGTGTGCGCTCCCCACGGGAGTGCCAGGCTCACCGGCTCCTGGCGGCTTTCCCGGAGCTGCTCCCTCCCCAGCCCGTGCGTCTGCTACCGGCGCTGATTCCCGCACACAGCTCGGAATGACTTGACGTATGGCAGGGCTTTGTGGGCTCCTCTGTGTTTGCCTGGGAAGCCAACAGGCCTTCTGGCTTTGCTGGCAGGTGTTAGCGTACAGACAGGCTCACAAGCCGCTTCCCAACGAGCTCGTGGAACAGTACCAGGACGTCACGCAGCGGAGCCAGTGGCTGAAATCCCAGCTGCAGCACGGGGGCCCTGCGTTCAGGAAAGGTCAGTGCAGCCCTGCAGTCGCCGCTCGTTTTGGGGGGTGCTGCCCATCGCGGTGCTAGGACTTCTGCCCCAGGACGGGTACAGCCTGACGTCGCAAGCCTCCGCCCTGAGCCATGGGTGAGCCGGGCGTTCCGTCGTGGCCTCTCCCTCCTGAAAGGGGCTTGGGGCAAGGGACTTGGGCAGAGACCAGCGATTTGTCATGTCTGTGGTAGTTCCTAAGCCTCGTTCCTACAGCTCCTTAAGGACCCCCCTGCTGTTCTTAGTCCTAATTCCCGTGCCTGCCTGGGCCTGTTTAATCTCCCTCCCTCACACCGTAGGCACAGGGGTGGTGCCAAGAGCAGAGATTCCCAAACCTCCGAGCGCTGGCTAGTCACGTGCTGGGGCTGCCTTGTGTAACTGAGGGATTGCACTAAAAGCAACTGGACATAAGGGCTTTCCTAACACTGCAGGACTGTGTGAGCAACCGCCACAGGGAGCGTTCTGCAGTTCGGGAGGGGAGGTGTCCTGGAGAGAATCACTATTCAGCTACATTCCCCACCACAGAAAGGTTTGAAGACCCCCGCCCTGCCCATAGAGGCTCAACTGACTCTAACCTTCCTCCCCCTAGAGTACCTGTCGCAGATGGAGAGGTTCCTGCAGTTCTACACCGATTCGGCACGGCGTCTCGGGAACGAGGGCAATCGGGTGAGGAAACCACTTGCCGTTCTCTTCTCCCTGGCGGGAAGCTGGGGCAGAAGCTGAGCGTTGGTTCTGTGATCGTGTGTGGTGGGACAGGGCGGGCGCCTTTGCGTGAGCCTGTTCCACTCGTGATAAGTAACATGGGGCGACTGGAATCTGTGGGATTGGGGTCTAACTTCACGTGCTCGCTACTGCCCGGTGGTTCTGTGGGGGTGTAGGTAGAAACCTGGCTAGACTGTTGTGCCAGGCCCGTCCCCCAGCGCTGCTAAGGTACCTGCGTTAAAGCAGCCGAGCTGTCAGACTTGGCATGGTCCCTGTCGCCGCTGCCCCCTGCTCCAGAGGAGTTCGACATCCTGATGCTTGTGGTGTTGGTTTAACAGGATGCCGCCAAGGAGGCCCTGTACAAGCGGAATCTCGTGGAGAGTGAGGTAAGCGTCCCCTAGCAGCTGAGCAGGGTCAAAGTGCATTCGGCCACGAGTCCTGGGCTGATCCCAAGAGCAGGGTCAGTTTCCCGCCTCTCAGCCCTGGACCCCCCACTGGCAGCTGGAGGGGAACTCTTTCTCCATGGCCCATTCCCCCCTCGGCCTCTCTGCCCGGACTGTCAGGGAGGGGGCTGACCAGCGACGGAGGTCGATGGTGCTTCAGAGACCGTTCAGTAGATTGATGGTGGCCCCGACGCAGTAGATTTTTTTCCCAATCCTTCAGGCCTGGAAGCTCCAAATCTCTCCTGCAGTCCCAGGATCTCAGGGGTCCCGAGTGCAAGCGTTAGCTCCCTCAGGCGGTTCCTGTAACCCCGCCCACGAGTTACGTGCTGCTTGTCCCTTCCCTGCCCTGCCCCACATGGCCCCAGGGGCTGCCACTCAAATACCCACGTGTCTCTTTCTCTTCCAGCTTCAGAAGTTCCGCAGATGAAGCCCTTGGTGTTGTGAAGGCCTGGGACAGAATGGGCCGCCCCTCATACACTGCACTCCTCTTCCCTCCATGACCCCCAGGGGGAGAAACTAGGCAGACACTAATGGGAGGGGTGGAGTTCCTTTCTGCCGAGGGCGGGAGATATACTTGAGGGGATGGGAAAGGCCCTGAAATTGACCTCGCATCCTCTGCTAGTGTAGCGAGGGTGCTGTCCTTGTGCCCGGTCCTTGTGCCCCTTCCCCACCCCACTCTGGTGGTAGGAGTGAGCTCAGGCCCTGACCTCACCCCTCCCCCCCCCGAACCAGCCCCACCCCGACCCCCGAGGTGCATGATGCCCCACAGGGAGACGAGCCAGACAATCATGTGACAATCACTTTGCCCCTCTGCTCACCGAGACGCACAGGTGCTAGAGGCCACCCCGCTCCTGGTCCCCGGCTCTGCTGGCCGCCTGCGAAAAGGCTTAGCGGGAGAGCACTGTCTTCACTAGGCCAAACTACAGCAGGGTTTGTCTCCACAAGGGCTGGGCCTGCACTAGGGCAGATACCTGTGGCAAATGGGTGGTGACCGCAGGTCCCGTCTCCCCTTAGCAAGCTCAGCACTCTTCATTTGTGCAGGCCGTTACCTGTAATATCCCCCATCTACGCTAGCCCCCGGCCTGTTCTCAGCACCGTCTGACGGGGGCCTGGGGTCGATCTGTGGCTGCTGCACCCTGTTCTCAGCCACAGGTCCCCGTCCTAGTCCAGGCACGACCTGGTGCAAAGGGAAACCGCCCTGTCCCTCAGAGCCCGGTCTGACCCTGGGCGGGAGCTGGGCTTGAATTCTGTGGGAAAACTCCCTGCCTGTCATGGGGCACCGGTGCCGGCTGGAGCAGGGTTCAAGGCCAGCCTAGAGTACAGCCACTCTCTCTCCCCCTCCCGCTACCTTGGTAAAGTGCAATCCGTGCTGTCCGTTTGGGCACCGGTTTATAAGGGGGCTTTGTACTGCACGGCACCGTGGGCCAGGCGAAGGCTGCGACCTGTGAGCGCTGTCCTGTGCTCCCCCTCCAGAAGATAGGGAGGCCCTGGGCAGGGGGGCATTTATCCGTCGCTCAGCTAATCCACTCTCTGGTGCTGTTCCTGTGGAGTGCCCCTGTCCCATCTCCCGGGGACGGCTCCAGTGCCTGACTGCGTCACACAGACAGACTGTACGTGGTGTGACTAACGCATGTCCCTGGACGCCCCCCGCGCCCTTCCCCAGCCCATATCACCAGAGCTCCTGCGTTGTGGGAGGCAGGGGCTGTGCACGCAGAGATGGGCAGAAACCCCTTTCCATAGCCCCGAGACGCTGTCTGAGACCCCCGCCCCCCCCAGCAGGGTGAGAACCGGGGCGGGAAGCTGCTTTCAGGAGTCAGAGCAGGGACGCGGCGAGTGTGAATGTGGCACTGCCTTGGGCTCCAGAGGGCTCCAGGCGAAGGGAGGACATGTTCCTCCAGCCACGGCCGGGACGATCCCAGGGAGCGAAAGGCGCCCGAGTGTGGATCCGAGCAGCTGCCCCAACGTCCGGAACTGACTCCCGTGTAAATACCCACTAAGACTTTCGCACCTTGTCCGAACTAGATGACACTAAAGATGCTCCCTCCCCCTCCTCCCCAGCATGGCAAATGGGGACCCTCTCCCCACCCCCGATTTGCACTCTGGTCACAGCTCATCTTGCACGGAGGGGTCCCTGCACCAATGCACTTTGCACACACCTCTCCCCCAGGGACGGCAGGCCCCAGCTGCTCTGTTCCGGCTTCGCAGGGCTCCAGGCAGAGGATGCCTGGGGAGGGTGGTACACGTTGTGAACTGCCACCCCTGTCATGGGCCTGCTGCTTTAAGGAGGCTGGGGAAGTGGAGAATAGGGCTATTTCTCGCTACTTACCTGATCCACCCAGAAGGGCTAACGGGCCCCACTTTGAGTGCTGTCCAAGATCCCCCTCGCCCTGCATGTCCCACTAGACCCCAGTCACTTACTGGTAGTGGCCATAGAGGAACCTGCAGCGAAAGCCCCTCTCTGGCCGCTTGTCTCGCTCCCATGCCCATTGCACACACGGGCCTGGCTTTCACGCTCTACGGCAGTAGGGTGAAACACATCTGCAGTTCACCCTACTGCCCTTCTCCCCTGGCGCCTGGCTCCAGTGAACCAGCTGAAGAGAACGTATTCAACCGCTCGTCAGGCCCTGGCAGGGGCGTGGGACAGGGCTCGGGATACCCTGGCTGGGAATGGTTGATTTCAAAAACCACATGCTCGTTAGGAGGCTGCAGCTGGGGGCAACTAAAGGTACCTCCGGCTCTGAGCTGCCTGAACAGGAGCTGAGCCAGAGGGGAGCGGCAGAGCTATCGCACAAGCAAGCAGCTGCGTGGGGAGGCGGGGAACTGTCCCGTTCCTCAGAGCTGGCGGGAGTCCCACTGACCCACAGGCCCAAACGCCAGAGGGGTTGAAATCCTTGACTTCAGTGGAGCTGGGATTTCCCCCTGGATCTCTCTCCCTCCTGCAGTGCCCAGCTCTCGCTGGCATCTCCGGCCCAGCTTGGCCATGGGCTCTTCCTTGCGTGCCTGGCACTGAGCGCCGCGTGAAACTGCCAAGGGCGCTGAGCCCGGTGGAGCCGCGCTGCAGCCTCTGCACGCTAGCCGGGCTGCACCGCTACTCGCTGCCCCCTGCACTGGCAGGAGGTGAAGGGACGTGTTAGGCTGATCCGGATTCTCCCCACCCCTTGCAAGTGACAGCCTGGTTTAAACAGAAACATTCCTTTAATCCCTGTGACTAACCAAATTCAAAGAGCTGCTGCTGGGTGATGGATGAGGTGATTAGCTGTCGAAATGGTCCAATCTCAGCTCCCCCTCTCCCCCCCCGACCTTCCTTTTAAACCAAATTTTAAACCTTTCTGTCTCTGGCCCAAGAGAAACCTTGTTTGAGGGTAAATAATGGGTAATTGTCTAATGTCTATTGATCCTCGTCTGATTCCACAGCCCAGTAAAGCCGTGTGGTGCTGGGTCTGTTTTTACATGCTGTAAGTGCCTGGCTCTGGGGGCGTCTGTCTGTCCAGAGAATCCGAGAGCGAATGTAAAAGCGGAGATGTTGGAACTGACTGCGTTCTGGTTTATTTTGTGCTTAGAGAGACCACAAATCTATATGAAGTTTTTAAGACACATCTTTTTTTCTACCAAAAAACCAAACCAAACCCAGCTCTACCCTGAACTGAAATCCTGTAACAAATACCAATTAAACCTCTCTGGAACCTCTTCCGTCCTTGTGTTCTCTGCCGGCTTCCCTTAATGCCAGCTTCCCACCCCCCCCCAGGGGAAAGAGAGCAGCTGAAATCAATTGTGCCTCCACCCTGTCTCTGTACCCATCCTTCACTGAACTTACCTAACCTGACCCCTGGGCTTAGGATATTCTCTCCAGCAAGGGCTATGGCTCGGTTAGTGGGGCGAAGGAGTTGGCTCAAGCGGTGTTTCTAGTAAATTAATATAATGTACAAGTTCTCTGGAAGCCAGTGTGGGTGAAAGCCCTGGAGACGGGCGTCCTACCCCCAGAACAGCCAGGCAGTGGGCATCACCCAGACCCCACTGTTCTCCTCCAGTCTCAGCTTCTTTCCCAACAAAGGGGCTAGTTATGAATGGGGCTTCCTGCCCCACCCGCCATGAAATGGACCGAGATCTACCGTGCTGATTGCACACGCGGGCTACCGAACCGTTCTCTGACAGTGCCGCATGGTCAATACCAACCTGAGCTGTCTTCAAACGGGTAACCTAGATGCCTCAGGCATGCCTGGTCTGAAAGGGGGAGACCTGAGCACAGCCTGGAGATGGCCCCAGGCTCTGCCTAGGAAGAAGCAACCCCAGTAAGTAACACCGTTGCCCTTTTACCTGCTCCAAGTGCTGTTAACTTTGTCTCGGGATGAGTTAGCCCCATTTTACAGATACTAAAACAGGCACAGAGACAGGGCTATAGGCAGAGAGTGAATTAATGACCGAGCAGGGCTAGAACCCAGGAGTCCCGGCTGCCCACATCGACCTCTAGGCTACACCGCTTCTCAAATTAGCTGCAGTCACTGTGTGCTTCATGCAAGCGGAGGAGCTGCGTACTGCTGATGGGGGCGTGCTATCAGGGCTCTGCGCCGCGCATGCGACCACTCATTCCACGGCCTGCTCCTGCTGCCAGCTCCTCCTGGCGGGCTTAAAACAGCTCAGGGAGTTGGAGATTTGGTTAGATTCACGGACCTGGAGGGAACCTCAAGAGATCACCTAGTCCAGACTCCTGCACTGAGGCAGGACCAAGTAAACCTAGGCCATCCCTGACAGGTTTGTCTAACATGTTCTTAAAAACCTCCAATGATGGGGATGCCACAACCTCCCCCCTGTAACCTAGTCCTGTATTTCACTAGCTGGAGAGAGAGTTTTCCCTAATATCTAACCTAAATCTCCCTTACTGCAGCTTAAGACGATTCCTTCTTGGCCTTCTGTTGCCATGAACCGTTGATTGCTGTTCTCTTTGGAACAGCCCTTAACATATTTGAAGACCTACCAGCTTCCCCTCAGTCTTCTTGTCTCACAACTAACCATACCCAGTGTTTTAATCTTCACAGATCACGTTTTCTAAACCTTTTAATCAGTTTGGGTGCTCTGCTCTGTCCTCAGGGCCAGCTCCAGGCCCCAGCTAAGGAAGCAGGTGCTTGGGGCGGCCAATACAAAGGGGCGGCACTCCGTCTGCTATTGGGGCGGCACGTCCGGGGCTTCCGCGGGAATTCAGGGGCAGGTCCCTCAGTCCCTCTCTTCCTCTTTGAGCTGCTGCCGAAGTGCCGCCGAAGAGGAATGATCCTTTTCTGCTGTCCTGCCACCTACCCAGGTGTGTCGCCGGGCGTTTCATCTCCTTCCCAAGTGCAGGACTTGCACTCTATCGAAGTTCATCTTGTTGAATTCAGGCCCATTTTCCAGTTAGTCACGGTTGGTTTGATTTCTAATCCTGTCCAACGTACTTCTAGCCTCTCCCATGGTGTCCTCTGCCAAAGCCATAAGCGCACACTCCACTCCGTTAGCCAAGTCATGAACGAAAATATTGACTAGGACCAGCCCCAGGGCAGAGCCCTGCAGGACCCCGCTAGCTCTGTCCCTCCGGTTCGACAGTAAACCACTGCTAGCTACTAGAGGGTGGGGTTTCAACCAACTGTGCACCCACCTTACAGTCATTTCCTCTAGCCTGCATTGGGGCCAGATGAAATCGATTTGTAAGGGATTCATTCGTGGGGATGGGAGCTAAGAGGCCCTGGTTATTCCATTCACTCCGGGGTCCTTTGCTACGGGACACAAAACGTGTCACCCCGCCCGTGGCTCAGAGACATGGAGACACCCACTGGCTCTGCTGGCACCATTGCCTGGGTCCAGGCCCATTCCCCGTCCCAGTATCTTAAATACCTTCCTTGGGCTTCATCAGCGCTGCTGCTGGGTGGCAGCGTGGAGCTGTCTGTTACCTGGCAGCCCTGCAGACGCAGGTTCTAGACCCCGACCCCAGCCCTTACGGTGCCTATGCTGCAAGCACCGCACAGTCCCTAATCTACAGGGAGGGTCCCTTTCAGCTGGCTTGGAGTTCGGGCCCTGGCTGACGCATGCCTCCAGCTGGCCTAGTAGCGAGCAGCCCTGTCCCCTGTAAGGCTGATTCAAGTGCTTGGCTAAAGTTGAGTGAGGCCTTAAGTGCCCGAGGGGACGTGCTGATTCTCAGGAGGCCGGGGCAGGGCCTACAGTGGGGTGTCGGCGCGCCGTGCAGCTCACGGAGCCCAGAAGAGCAGGCAGCGTAATCCCTCTGGAACGCTGCCTCAGGGAGGATCTCGAAACCATGTTATCGCTGTGATCTGGGATGTGGTGCGTCAGAGCCTGGGAGGGAGGGAAGGCGGCTGCAGGAAATGACAGCAGGAGAGAGGGATTTCAGTAGGGGATATTGCCAGAGCTCCTCTCAGCCCAAGCGATCCCAAAGCACCGCCAAGTTCAGAGCTGGTTGGAGGTCTCAGAGGAATCGCCCCTGCTTAGAGCAGCTCAGAATTTAGCCCCACATACAGAGGGAAATAACTTCCCCGGCACTGAAATGCAGCCACCTCTGGGGTGGAACGTGGCAGTGCTACGTGACGGTTTGGACGAGAGGTGAAGAGCGGCTGATCCAGTGGAGAGTGCAAGGGGGAAGTCGCCAGGCTGACCAATGGGCAGGACCCCAATTCTGTGGTTGGCTGAAAGAGCAGGACCGTGCCCCCTGCTCCCGGAAGCACAGCACCCCCAGTACTGCTGAATCTCAGGGAAGAGCGCCCCCTACTGAGACACCCACCCTACTCCCCACCATAGCTGGATTTTCCCCCGTCCAAGTACCGAGCCTGCCAAACCCTGCTTAGCTGCCGCTCCCTGACAGGACCATCCGAGCCCACAGCGATAACACAGTCTAGGACCTGAACAGCGCAGCTGGAGAAGGAGAAAGCTGCCCCGGTTCCCCACTTCCTCGCTGCTATTCAAGCTTCCCTGACAAACCAGGCCCAGGGCAGACACTGACCAGCTCAGGCTGACCTGTCCGCCTGTTAGGGGCCTGGGTGAGATCTGAGCCAGCGCCCGGCTCGTGGCATCTTGATACTGATGGGTTCTGGGTTCCCCGTAGTGTCCACAACCTCCAGCTGCTTCAGGGCCGCGAAGGCCTGGTCAGACACGCTGGCTGCCAGCAGGCGGTTGGATCTGAAAGAGCAGGAGGACAGGTGAAAAGCTTCATTCTCTGCCAAGAAGAGGCCTCTTGAGACGGCATTTGTTGGCCAAATACTTCAGGGAGATGGCACCTAGGACCGTGCCCTAGGCAGTGGGCCCCTCAACACCAGAGGCCTCAGGTCACAGAGCAAGGACGGGACAGTCCCATTCTCTATGGCTCTGGGGAGCCCAAACTTGGGCTCCAGCCTGGCCCTCCCCACCCCATAAGTGTTGCTGAAGTGCTGGAGGGGGTGCAGAGAGCAGCGATTTGGCTCGAGGTCACCCAGGCGACCTCTTGCGCTAACGCTAGCCGTGTGGATGTTGCGACTCTGGCAGGACTCAGGCTGGCCACCTGAGTCCTAGCCTGCCCAACCCCATGGGTTGCAACTCCGGGGGCTAGCCGGAGCCACCGCCCCTGCTCCCCACCATAGCTGGATTTTCCCCAGCGAAGCTAGTGCGAGTCTGTCTACCTGCACTGCAAGGCGTGCTCCCAGCTGCAATGTAGACACACCTCCAGCGAGCCAGGGGTCCTGACTCCCAGCCCCCCCTGCTCTGACCTTCACCCCACACCCCTCCCAGAACCAGGGACACAGACCAAGGGGTCCTGACTCCCAGCCCCCCTGCTCTGACCTTCACCCCACACCCCTCCCAGAACCAGGGACAGAGACCCTGGGGTCCTGACTCCCAGCACCCCCTGCTCGGACCCCTTCACCCCACACCCCTCCCAGAACCAGGGACAGAGACCCTGGAATCCGTGACTCCCAGCACCCCCCTGCTCTGACCTTCACCCCACACCCCTCCCAGAACCAGGGACAGAGACCAAGGGGTCCTGATGCCCAGCCCCCTGCTCTGGCCCCACCTTCTGGAAAGGTCGGCGGGAAAGCCGGTCAGCAGGACGGCAGGGCAGGAGCCTGCCTGTGTTCCCAGCACTAACCTCCCTGCTCCGGCTGTTACCTGAGGACGATGGCTCGGATGTCGGGGATGGTGTGGAAGGCTTCGGCCCCAATGACGGCAATGCGGTTGTGCTGGAGATACAGGTACTCGAGGGACTCTGGCAAGTCCGGGGGGATGTAGGACAATTCGTTGTTGCTGAGATCCAGGAGCTGGGGAGCAGGAGGGACGGGGTTACCCAGGCCAACAGCAGAGTTCTCACCAGCTTCTTGGATTCGCTCTACGCCACTAGTGGCTGGTAACACCCTGCCAGGCCTGACTGTTCTGGACAAGATTCTTGCAGGGCAGGCTGGTCGGGGACTTGATCACAGCCTTCAAGTCCCTACGCTGGGAGAGGGGAGCAAACTCCATTCAGCATGTTGTTAGCCTGTGGAACTCCCTGTCACATGAAGTCAATGAGGCTGCGACCAGTCAGACTCGAAGAGGGGGCTGGATGTTTGTATGGATGACAAGGAGATCTGGAGTTAGAACGGTTCTGGGAGGGAGATTAAATCTCGTGGTTTTAAGCCAATCTCTATTAGGAGACCTTCATGGGGGGCTGAGTGTCCCTGTGGGGGTTCCTGCACCTTCAGCTGAGG